CCATGCATTATCATTATAATATTCTACCATTCGATCTCTTGGAAAATGATGGTTTCTAGGGAATGCATGGCCATTATGAACTACCATCTCAATCTCTTTATACCTACCTGTTCGATATTTTTCACTATTAAAAATGGTCCTGTGAGTAATATCAAGCAATTTGATTGGCTTCTTAAGTATTTTTTCTAATTCTGCTACATCCTCTACCCGAGCACCAGGTTGACACATTCTTTTTTCCCATGTATCAATTTTTTGCTTACGTATACTAGTCAGACCATGCCCTCTTTTTGCTTTTTCAAAATGCTCTATTATTTGCTGAGCCACACAGTTAAGTGCACCATCTTTCATGGGCATTAAACGTTTACTATCTGGCTCCCAGATTCTATATAGTCCATAGACAACTGCATTATTTTTAAGTAATTCAAAATCAGAGGTTTTAATTTAAATTTCTCTAACTAAAAACTTATTATCAATTCTAACCCAGAAGCCTGGCTTTGTTTTTTTTGTAAGAACAACATTTTGACCCCCTGGAACAAATTTATTACCAACCTTTTTTGACTCACGTATAGGCTCATATTTGTCAACAATTTTAAAATTATCAAAATCTGGTCGAATAAATTTTATCCTTATAAGAAACTTATCATTATCTATTGTATTTAAAATTTTCTTGGTGCGTTCTTCAGTCATCCCAGCTTCATATATTTTATTTTCCCCATAGTGATCTCTTATAAATACTTTCCATTCTGGACTTTCTTTTCTTTTTTCTTTATATATACTTATTAATCCTTTTATATATTCTAAATTATTTTTTACATTATACCATCCCTTTTGTAAACATAATACTTTTAGTTTTTTTACAAGTTCTTTTTCACTTTTAGCTGTTAATAATATATTTGTTAAATCTTCACTTGGAATTTCTGCAAACCAGGTTGAAAATGTATATTCAGCACCATCTACTTTAAACATATCTTTTGCTGTCTGTATTCCTTTTTGCCACACTTTTCGATGGTTTTCATCATCTGGAAATGAAACTGGCCAAGTTACTCTTTTATCTAGATCCTTTGGATCTTCATCCATTAAGTCAAACCATTCCGCATCTGTTTTTGGATTCTTTTTATTATTAATACTTGGATTATTTTTTATTTTAGGATTCGCTAGCCAGTTAGCCAAATTCTCTATAGATAGAAGGCTGGGTACTGGTAATTGGAATCTGGATATATTAGGGCTAGATGGCTGAACTGGGTCAGGTATTTGGGTTTGTTTACACTTAAACTTTCTATTAAAATGATTTGTTAAATCACGAGTCTTTTTAAAATCATTCTTTCCATATCAGGGGCATTGAAGTATCATTTTTGATAATAAGTGAAGCAATTCAGTTGTTTGTATTAATAGTACAAAATATTTTGTTCAAATAAAAATAATTAATTATCT